CAACAACTTGAAGAAAAAAGCCTTAACTTTAGGTCATATAGTTGACCTTTAGTTGACCTTTGACTAAAGAATCCCACAACTGTGTTTTAATTCATTCAAGCTTATATGGAGCGCACATTACTCGATTTTTAGTTATGCAACTAAACAGTTCAATTGGCTGCGAAACAGTCGACAATCGCACAACAGTTGTGTGTTTAGTCAAAGGTGTGCACCCGCTCTAAATGGACTCTAAGTAAGACCATTTTTCAGTAATTAAGGACCATAGAAATGTTTCATTAAAATATGATTAAACAATCCAGATTTCCATTAAAATTGGCTTAAACAATCAAAATTGTCATTAAACTTTTTAATTACCTTCTAATCCTTTAACTGTATGTGGACGTAAGCCAAGTAAGCTGCAGCTTTACGTGGATTTATATCGCCAGCTCGCGCACCGTGCAGACCTGCGAGCCACCCCCGCGACCTACCCTCCCCTCGCACCGCACTGCACTCGCATAATCCCATAACTAGACTAACATTACCAAGAATGCACACATTGCCACAAAAGTTATATAAAATACGAGTAATTAAATAATCGGTTTTCACAGAAATGGAAATGGTAATAAAATCTTGAATTCTTTACGTTTTAATAAATAAATTCTCGAATATCACAATAACGCAATTTCAATTCCAATTTCAGTTTTCGGGGAATAAATTAATTAGTATCGTAATGGAAATATATAAAGTTCGTGGCCCAGTTTTTGGACACGAAATACTTCAATTCGAAGTTTTTTACAGTGGAAGTGCCCGCTTTAACATCTTAGCACTGCAGGGCCGGCACGCCCGGTGTAATACCACGACCACACAGAAGACAGGCGTGAAATGGAAGCAATTCCGTGTTTCGTCTGATGAGTGTGGTGCCGGAGGCCTAATTTAAGTCCCTTTCTCTTAACCGCCCTTTTCTTATAAGGAGAGGATGGGAAGGGAAAGTGGATTTTACGATGGAGGAGATACATAGGAAGGGGAAATATCCCCTTTATGTGCATCTCCACCTCTGACGGATAAGGGTAGGCAACGCATTTGCAATTTCGGATGTCTATGGGCAGCGGTCGCTTCGCCATTTTAGCGGATTCAGGTGGCCGCTTGCTCGTTTGCCACCTTTTGTTATAATAAAAAAAGGGGCTAAAGATGGTTATAATTACAGTAAAATGGTTATAGTATTCTGGGTATTGATAACTGAGCCTTAGATGTGTAACACACGTCAGGATGTTGCTTACCTTGGAGATTTCTACAGGACTTGTACATACAGTGATCCTACCAACAATGATAGGTAGGTAAGTTGGTGGGTTACGTATTAGCTGATGTTTGATTTATTTTAATTTTGTTTTCTATCGATAACCATCAGTTGAAATGTTATCAGCGCTACAAATCTCTCATTCGAATGCCATTCGACTGTATCGCAATCATTTGGGAATTGAAATGTTAAAATCAAATAGCTTTAAAAGTCATTAGAGAGATAGGATACAAATTATTAACGTAACTATTATAACTGTTGAAATTGTAATTCATAGTATTTTTGGTTAAGCAAGTTGCGAGTTTGCTCCGTTGAAACACCCGAAAAAAATTGTAATTCACTAATCAATGATATTTTTCTAAATAAAACAGTGGACAATGATTGAAAGGAGAAAGAAAGTTGAAAATCATTAGCATCGAAACATGTTACGTGTTATATTGTTAACCTAGTACTCAGTCATTTATTCAACATTTGAAATAAATAAAAACAAAAGTGCGGAGTGTCAATGGAATTTTAATCATTATTGACTTAATATATTTTCTAATTTAATTACCAAGAATCGTTAATAAAACGTCAATTTATTACCTAAATACTGTTACCTATAACATCTGAGTTTCCAAACATTGTAATTTTAAAACGAAAATGAAGCAATTATTTCATTTCCTTGGATTGAAATAAATTAAATTCGTAGAAGAGAAAAATTTAACAACGTCGAATATTTTACAATGTGAAAAGTGCTGAAAAGCAAATAATACGTATTCTGCGATATACTCGTAGTAATAAATTTAATTGAACAATGTACAACAACGAAAGTTTTCATAACATGCGTACTGTTGTCGTTTTACAACATTTTGTTGGAATCAAACGAACTCATCTTTTAGATAATTCAACTACGATTTTCTTCAGTAATGTTATTCTTGTTTTCGCTCCAAGCATCCTTGTCGGATCAATTATCTTTGATATTTTCTATTTAAATTCATTTAACTATTCCATTGTGATATTTGAAGTATTTGTTTCTTTAGAAACAGCATATCTTCTGTGTGCAGCTGCATTTCAAACTAAGACTTTTGATGCTATTAACAATTTAGATGAAAAATGCTTATTTTCTGAAAAATATGCATCAAATATTGAAGCGAAATCTTTAACTATGACTATAGTAAGTGTAGTATCTGTAATACTTGATGCAGTTGGAATTTGGAAACTAGATGCATCAACAAGTGCTATTGTTATCTTGACTATATCATTCGCTGTACACGATACAGAAATTGGTTTTTACTATGTCATTATATCTGGAATCAATTTTAGATTATATAGTATATTAGGATCAAATGCAAATCATGGATCAAAAGTCTACCGACACGTGTTACTGATAGCGTCACATTTTGAAAAAGAATTCAATCTATCGGTAAGATTTTAATATTTGCACATTGGTTTATAACAAACATATTGGTAGGTGATTTCACAAATCTCACTTTAAACCTCACACAATTTACAGATTCTCATTATGCTGGGTACAACCTTTATAACGACAGTCGTCTATTCTTTGTTCATCTTTCTTGTAGACTCATCAATGGTAAGAAATTTTAACTTCTAATTAGAACTACTAAATACAATACTGGTGCTTAAACTGTATCTCCTTATAGCTTTTCGTTATTATATCTTTAATTCTGGTTTTTGTTTATTTTCAGAGAGCAAATATTACTATGTTCTTAATATGGCGTGAGTTGAAATCATTATATTCTCTTTGGTTGCTCTGCTGCGCCGCAGCACAAACAAAGTTGGCCTGCAGCGAAGTAATTGGTTACTTATCTAAATCTCTGATATTTGAATTTAAATATCGAGGTAAGATTATATTCATACATACAATTTGAGATAGAAGACATTATAATGTCTTCCTCTTCTGTAAAGGCAATTTAACAACTTTTCAATGCCCTTGATAAAGCCGTAATTGGCCTTTTTAATTATTATTTTTTATTTCTTATTGATCTATTTTGACAGACGAATTTATTTTTAGAAAAATCCTCTCTTCAAAGAGCAACTAAGCGTCTGTTGTTATGTGTGCAAACAGAGAAGCCTCGTTACGTCAACGGGTCTATTTTCTCTATCGATTTGGGCGTGCCTCTGCGAATAGTCGATATTAGTGTCAATTATTTGTTGATAATCTTGCAGGTAAGAATAGACAGCTTAAATATATATCCCCTAATTAAGTACCCACTATGAATAAAACCCAGGGGAATCTGATACGATTTTTTTTCTCATTTTTAGATATATGTCGCGTACGTTATGAAACATTGAAAGTTTTAACAAGCAAACATTTATGATCTCTAAAAGTATAATATAATAACATATTTGAAGAGAAATACACATAAGTTGTAAAAGATGGAGAACAAGCATTTAATAGAATAAAATTAGAAATAAACCCATTGCTCTTTTTGCTAATATAGCAGGGAAAAGGGCTGAAGTTTCAGTAAGTAAGAAAAACTTTAAGCTGAAGATGATTATGACAGGATTAGGACATCTCTTTGAGTAAATACTGTGGTATACGCACACTAAAGAATTTCAATACTAGAAGTATGATAGAAAACTTTATATAAGCGTCGCTAATTGTGATGTGATTAGATAAACTTTTTGCTCCTCGACACATCGGTCCATTGTGAACGCGGCCCTTTGTCCGGCTGGACGTCGGTCCGTTCATTCGTTCTTTGTTACAAATTTCTGTATACATCGCTTCGTTATTTTGTGTTTAAAAAATATTTTTATAGCTAGATTTTATTTTCGAATGATTAATTTCCTGTGATAAAGTCAAAAGTATTAAGGTCTCAATCGTTTGTTAATTAAGCCGCCCCTCCCCTACCTTCTGGATACGTAAGTATTCGTTCATCCACCTTTAATAAAACTAGCCGCTAAAATAATAAGAAAAAGCGGCTCAACTTCAGACTTAGCAATTTAACTTTGAATTTTCATCTTATTTTAATTTAATAGAGTAATATTTCTTGACGTCGGGGCAAAGTTTATAAATGAGCACTTATAATAAATCCTTGGCGTTATTCTGAAGCACTTGCAGTATTTAAACCATTAAGTTTGTGTAAAGTGGCTCGCGGAGTTGTATTATGTGTAATCTGGACGTATAAATTTACGGAAAGCGCGCCCCGCCTTGGCTGCCGGCCATGGACGACGTTTGCAATATTATAAACAACTAATGAAGAATATGTACAGTTTTACAGTGGTAGAGCCCGCTTTAACATCTTCACACGAATGGGCCGGCTCGCCCGGTGCAATACCACGACCACACAAAAAACAGGCGTGAAGTGGAAGCAATTCCGCGTTGCGTCTGATGACTGTGGTGCCGCAGGCCTAATCTTTAGTCCCTTTCCTTTTCCACCCTTTTCTTAAGAGGAAAGAATGGGAAGGTAAAGTGGATTTGACGGTGGAGGAGACTCATAGGAAGGGGAATGTCCTTTATATGTGTGTCTCCTCCTCCGTCAATTAAGGGTAAGCAATGCATCTGCAATTACGGATGTTTACGGGCGGTAAGCTTTCCATTTCGTTGGATTAAGGTGGCCGCTCGCTCATTTGCCACCTTATATTATAAAAAAAATGTAGTTTCAGAATATCCTTCAACTCTGAATTGCCGACATCCGCATCGCCGGAGAATCGGAAAATGTAAAATCGATATTAAAACTATTTTAAATGAGACTATATTAATAGTTTTGCCGCCGCCCTGCTCCTAGAAAGGGGGTATTTCCGATTCTCTGGCGATCCAGGCTAGACATAGCCTTGGCCAGCGGTTGGCAACGCCCATGGCGATTATAGTTTTTGCTGTAGCATTTCACTTTAATAGTATAATTTTTATGCAATATTTTAAAATTCCAAGCAACATGTAAATGCGTAATGAAATTTTGTTAATAACATTATAGAAGGTCTATCCGGGCAGGCAGTGGGCGCGGATTTGTTATACAGTTAGCAACGCGGCGGTTAATTCAATTAGATCAATTGTAATTCAAAACAAGTTAGCGTAACCACCATTTACATCCACGTGTGTAATTAATTAAGCTATTCAAAGAAACGTTACTGTTACAAGACCACTAGTTTCACTATAAAAATATTAAACTCAACATAAGTTACAAATGTTAAGTAATGTAAAATGTTTGTAAAAATTAAATAAATCATTTACAATATTAAGAATATGTAATGAATAATTTTCAATTTGTATTACTGAAGATATAAATTATTCCTGTTCATGTCATCATGTTGAGTACCGCAATCTGTGGAAAGTATTGGGAAAGGCCTATGCCCAACAGTGGGCAGATAAAGGCTGTTGATGATGATGACGATGATGATGTCATGAAAATGAAATTAGAGTTATGGAATTGTTACAATAGTTTTGATAAAACTTTATCTGAACCAATATTGTTCTCATACCTATGATACCTATGGAGGCCTAATTTTAGTCCCTTTATCTTTACCACCCTTTTCTCACAAGAAGAGGATGGGAAGAGGAAGTGGATTTGACGGTGCAGGATATGCATAGGAAGGGGAAATATCCTCTCTATGTGCGTCTCCTCCTCCGTCGTATAAGGGTAGGCAACGCATCTGCAATTGCGGATGTCTATGGGCAGCGGTCGCTTCGCCATTTTGGCGGATTGAGGTAGCCGTTTGCTCGTTTGCCACCTTATGTTATAAAAAAAAACCTTCTGATTTGTATTCAAATGTTGCGTAATATTATAATTGCGATAATTATATGTTCTTGTGTAGAAATAATAATCATATCTTACTAATTTAGCGTTTTTAAATTTAGAACAGATTTAAAACATGACTATGTTCTAGACTTACTCGTAGAAGTACGCACAGGCTTGCTAAGTTTATTTTTAATGCCTCTAAGTAACAAGTATAAAGTATACTATACTAGAGATTATAGAAAGTGTAGAACACATGCTTAAACTTTTTTTTCTCTCCCTAACGAGTCTTGGATAAACCAGAAATAGTAAAGTTGTAGCGTGGCATGTTACGTTTCGAATAGATAGTACGAATCTTATTATGTTGTTATTGTTACTGTTCTTTATCTTATTAAGTACAAGGAAAGATGATTAATCTCATGTAAGGCGACTTATCTTCCAACTATAAAATGTACACATGCGTCCTACTAACAGAGATAGTAAAGTAGATTTTCCTTGAGAATCTCTCGGCTGTATTTTAAATTACTGAAATTCTATGACAGCTTAAAATAATATTCACGAAACTGTGGCAAATTCTTCGACATGTTTATCATCTCAAATAAGTTTTAACAATGTACTAATTTTACTTTTAAAAATATTCGCAAACAACTTAGTTAATATTGTAACAGTAGGTTTTAAAAAGTTATAAATTTAAAAGACGATATGATAACATCGAAGCTACAAGAATTAATAAACAAAGATTAGTTGGTAAAAAACATTTTGTAACAGTAAATATAGATTCTACAGAAATTTATCAATTACCAAATCGGCGATACTTTAAAGAGTGGTGGCCCGGAAATTACATGATACGAACTTTTATACAAAGAAGTATGATCTTGTACGCAGGTGGGTTAGGCATATGTATGTTCTTCTTTTGTTTAATAAATATCTGCCCATCCTCATTGAATAGCTGGTTATGATAGCTATACTATAGAACCTTTTTCAACACAACCTACTTGGTTCAATTAACAAGGTACGTAATTACGTCATTAACTTTTCTCATTTCAAGAAGGTAACCGTTTGACCGAAACAAATCTCCATATAAAATGGCTTTTTTCGAGGAGGAAATGAGTCATTAAGGAGCCGGAGAACACTTCGCCTCAATAATTGCGGGATGGCGCCCCGAGGTGACAGCCCACCTCGAATTAACCCCCTCAGTGTTCCATGACAAAAGATTGAAACAAAGAATAGTGTGGACATGCCCTTAAATGTTTAATACAATTTTATTCAAGTGTGTAGTTAATTTATTTTAGCTTTTATCCTCCACCACATATCTATAATGATCTTTTTTAACTTTTTATTCTATCAAGCTACATTACTGAAGAATATAATGAATATTTGACAACAAATAATAATACAGTAATGGTTTTGTTTCTTACAATAATAATGCTCAAATATTTAAAGACTGTACTAAATCTTAAGGCTAGTCCACACTATACATAAGCGTATATACTATATATACACTATATATAAGCGAGTTGCGCGCCGTTGTTTTTATTGTTCATTCGTTGTAATTACAAATCCACTGCGATTTAAACAAAGTGACTTGTAATTTACACTCTTGTTAATTTAATAAAGCTTTAATTGTTCAATTATACCATAGTTTGATGTATTAGCAAATTCACTTTCCGATTTCGTGGCATTTTTTTCATTTAGCTTACGATATGACAGAAATGATTCTTAACTA